TCTCTCTCTCAAATAAATAAATAAAAAAAATCTTTAAAAAAAAAAAAAAGACAAAAATGCAGATTTTTAGAAAGCCTCTTTTACCACTCACCCACCTCCAGCCCCTTTGCAACAGCGTGGCTAATTCCGGATGAGAATAGGCCCAAAGCCTTGCTGATCTCAGGATCATGTGGTCCAATTTCTGCATTTCACAGATGGGAGCTGCGCATATATACACTTTCCTCTAAAACTTCAAAGGCCGCTAACAGCGCAGAGCTCCTCATGTGTTTGTTTTGAGGAAGCTTAAGATTAGAATGACCAGAAATAGTTCTACTTCCCTTTTCCTAGAAACCACAGTTACCTCTTCAGCTGGAACGCGCCCCTCCAGCCTGCGGAAGTCCGGTTGCCCGGGGACAAGAACTGCTTTCTCTGCTACTCCCTCTAAAGAGCAGCTGGTCCTCCAGTTAAAGTCAGGTGGGTGCAGACAAGGGAAGTGAGGGGCGAAGGCCGAGCCAACACGTGGACAAGGATTAGATTTTGCATCCTGCCTTGGCACACAGATCTGTGATGCCCCCCACGTCTAACCTGCGTTTCCACCCTCCGGGGAGGCATGAGGTCAAGAGACAGAGCTCTTAGCTACACTGGCCTACCCTGCCCAAGACCGCCTTGCTAGAGAACCTGCCACTCCTCCTATAAACCTTCTCCAGCCTTCTTGCGGCCCACTCGAGAGCCCTCCTGCTGGGGTCCTGGGGTCCCTGTGAAGGCCCAGGAAGCCCACAGTCACTGGGGACAAGGAGGTGTGGTCCTAACTCAACTCAGACATGCACACGGGACCTGTGTTATCTATTAGAATAAATAATCCTTAAGTAGCCCCAACATTTCCCAAAGGACATTCCAAGAAATGCCAGCCAGTGAGCTACTGCGGGGAAGAGTAAGCAATGTGTGGTGAAGTTAGGGAAATCCCTCGCTTGCAACCCTCTTTTGGGAGCTTCTGTCTCATCAGCCCGTTCCATGTTCCAAGATAATCACGCAATAGCCAAACCTGGTTAACTTGACTCAAACCAGCTGTTGACCAGAGAAAAACCTTTTGAGATCCCAGTTCGGAAAACAGCCCTAGACCGTGAGGTTGCGTTCAACAGAGATGCCCAGGGGCGGCTGTGAGTTTCCAGGGAGGACCCCCCCGACCCCCAACCCCGAAGGGTGGGCTTCCCGATCCAGCGCAGACCCCCAACGCCCAGCACCGTGGGGGGAAAGCAAGAACCCACCGCAGCCTCTGAGGCCGGTTTCCGAGGAAAAAGTCTAACCACTGGGAGAGGCGAGAGGGGGACAGAAAGGCGGGGGCTGGTGCAGGATGCTCCCCAGCGGGGGACTCACCATTGGTGGCCGTGTTGACATAGTAACGGCGGCCCTGAGGAGACAGGTAGCTCTGCCAGCCAGGTGGAAGGACAACAATCTGGCTTTCCTCTCCGAGAGGAGGGGGGACCATTCCAGGCTTCTGCGGAAGAGGAGAGAAAAGGTCACACATGCCGGGCATTTCGGTGACTGGGTTGCAACCAGTTTAGGACCAGGCAGTCGGAGGCAGCTGAAGTCACTTTGGAAGAGCCGATGCTGGGGACGGGGTTGGGGGTGCGGGGACGGGAGGTGGCCCATTGGCCTCCCTGGGGGGAGGAGGTCACAGGCCACACACGTGGGATTTGGGGGCTTGCCCGAGCGTGAGGTGTGAGGAGCGCTTGCTGTTTCAGAGCCACCACGGAAGGGACGGCTTCCCACAGAGGACAGTCAGCAGAGCTGGGCCTTCTCCCCGGCAGCCCCCTGTCCCCTGCGCACGCCCACTGTGGAATCCAAAGCCTGGACCCCCAGGACCCCCACGTACAGCAGCGGGCGAGGCCCAGGGCCTGCTGTGCGAACCTACCAGAAGTTAATTAACCCAAGTCTCAGCAGAGCAAGATCTGAAGCCTTCTATAACCACGCCGAGAACGGATGAAGGGCTGGCGGGGGGGGGCGCTTTTCTGGTCCACTGTCCAAATCTCTCTGGGGGATCTGGAGAGAACCAGGACCCACGCCCAAACCACAGCTCCCTTTCCATCATGTGTACTTTGTGCACTTATGTGTGGTTTAATCTTTTTTTCCTTAAAGATTTTTATTTATTTATTTGAGAGAGAGAGCATGAGAGAAAAGAGAGAGAGCACAAGCAGGGGGAAGGATAGAGGGAGACGCAGACTTCCAGCTGAGCAAGGAGCCCGACGCGGGACTCGATTCCAGGACCTGAGCCAAAGGCAGACGCTTAACTGACTGAGCCACCCAGGCGCCCTGGTTTAATCTTTTGACCATCAAGAGCAGTCCTCTTCTTAAAAATACAAATAAGAGAAAAATATATATGTGTGTGTAAGGGAGAGAAAGCAGGTGAACCCACAGAGCCTACAAGAGAGGTGACTTCCGGCGGTGGCATGAGGCGCAAATTTTCTCCTCTCCCTTTTACTTATCTCTTGCATCTAAATGTCCCTGAAACAACAAAAATAAGTGGTGAGCTAAAGAACATTTAAAAATAAGGAAAGAGGGTCCAAATTAGCCCACACAATGGCTGTACCTTCTGAAGATAGCTAAGTGGATTCAACCACACAGGGAGAGGGGCCGTGAATTTCTCAGCAAAGCTGGACTCTGTTCAGATGTATTAAAAACTACTCCGCTCCTAGGGGCACCTGGGTGGCTCAGTCGTTAAGCGTCTGCCTTCGGCTCAGGTCATGGTCCCAGGGTCCTGGGATCGAGTCCTACATCGGGCTCCCTGCTCCGCGGGAAGCCTGCTTCTCCTTCTCCCACTCCCCCTGCTTGTGTTCCCTCTCTCGCTGTCTCTCTGTCAAAAAATAAATAAAATCTTAAAAAACAAAACAAAACAAAACAAAACAATACTCCGCTCCTGAATGTCCCTGGCAGCTCTCCGCCATGCCCACCAGGGAAGTTTTGGTCACTAATGACGGCTACTTAGGAAAAATAGCTAACAGATCCAAAGCAAGCAGTACGGACATGAGGTTCCCTGCCCGCCCTGCTCTCCTATTGTCTGAAGGTTGCAAAACTAGCTACTTCTGCCTGTGGCACGCCCTCACCAGGGACTGGGTCCATCCTAGATGGTCCTGGGACCCTGAGTAACCACAGCCTCCCCGTGGCCACCATGGTTAAAGGCTGTCAACCCGCAGTGCCTCGGATTCAGTATGGAAGGTGTTGTTTTGTTTTTTAAGATTTTATTTATTTGGCGAGAGAGAGAGAGAGACAGAGAGAGCGCACAAGCAGAGGGAGAAGGAGAAGCACATTTCCCACTGAGCAGGGAGCCCAATGCGGGGCTCGATCCCAGGACCCCAGGATCATGACCTGAGCCCGAAGGCAGACACTTAACCCATGAGCCACCCAGGCGCCCCTGGGAGGAGGTTTTTAAACTACCAGGCGCCAAGCACCAGCCAGGAGATCTCAACAACAGAACACGTCCACTGAGCGTGTTTACTTGGGCCTCCAGACACCGGCTCTGGCCTCTCCCGGATTGCAAGGTGGTCCAAATACACGCACACAGAATCTCGGGATGAGTAGTGTGCGTGTGCATGCCACGCACGCGTGTATAAAATATCCCACACAGGAGATGTGCATCTTGGCTGAGTGGGGCTGAGGGGTCACACAGGAATAGGGAGGTGAGGAGGCTTAAGAGAGAAATATTCTAGAACCAGAGGGTATGATGCCAGGCTGCTTCTGCTAGTCTTCAAGGATCCAAGATGGGAAGGCTACGTTGGTGTTTCTCCCAGCAGCCTGGGAGGGAATGGGAAATTGTTAAAGGGTATTAAGCAAGGACCAGAGACAGACATGGCCAGAAATAGGGGAGAGGGGAGAGGGATCCAGAAGCACCGTGGAAACAGTCCTCCAGCCTGGGCCTCAATCCTGACTCAGCCGCTGAGCAGCCGCATGATAGGAAAGTGACTCAGCCACTCCATTTATCTACACGTCTACACAACAGAGGAGGAGGACAGGAGCTCTGTCGTGGAAGGCACCTAGAAGGGTGCGTGTCACCAGGAATGCTCTGTTGACGGAGGGGTCCCAGCAGGAGGGGATGTGTAAGTGCCCAGCGAGACCAAGCTCCACACGGCCTCTGCCCCCTGAGAGGTGAAGTTCAGGTGCCCACACCTCAGCCTGCCCCACCACGCCTGTCTCCAAGACTCTGCAACTCAGCAGGCAAGCACACACCTGCTGGGGAGGGCATGCGTTCAGAGGTTGACCAGCTGGCTCTTCGGAGAAGGCTGGGTGGGTGCAAGGAGTAAGCAGGGCTGGTTGGGTGAGTGGAGCAAACTTCCAACCGTCATGCCCCCACCTGGCAGACAGCAAACAAGGCCACCTGCCCCGTCTCCACAGCTGCACGGTGCTTTTTCTCTTGAGAACGACTCTAGGGGACTTATCTGACTCTCTGGGCTCAGAACAAGCTCTGGCTTCCCCTGGAGGACACTGATGACCAAGGAGGCACCATGACCGGCCGCCCTGAGGTCTCACCCATCTAGGAAATGCTGGACCCTCCATGCCCGAACCTATAGAAGGTGCCTGTGGGGGAAGCACATTCTGCTACTGAGCCAGGAAGGGCCAAGAGGCGCTGGAATAGAAGGGGTGGAAAGAGGACACCAGGGCCAACTCAGCCTGCTTCCTAATTTGGCCAACGCTGCCAAGGCCGTCCCCACATCCCCCTCCAGCATGACCACAGCTCCCCGCTCTGCCTGTCACCTGATTGTGCTCTGCCCCCATCCCCCCGAGGCCGCCACAGTCCCCTTGCCTTGGCTCTCTCCCAGAAAGAAGCTCCCCCAGTTGGTGGCCTGAAACACGTCAGGAGTCAAAAGACGCGGAGACACCTGGGGACGTATCCAAGAGACCTGAAAAGGGCGCTCAAACACCGGTAAAGCCACGTTTGAGTAGCCTTATCCACAATGACCAAAGGGCAGACGGGACCAAGGACAAAACACGGTGCATCCAACGAAATACCCAGCCGTCGGAAGGAAGGAGGCTCCGCTCCACGCTACCACATGGATGAGCCTTGAAGCCACGCATGCGATGCCATTTACACGAAATGCCCAGAAGAGGGAAATCCACAGAAACAGAAAGCAGATGAGCGGGGTCACCGGGGGCTGGGGGGGAGGGGAGGACGGGTACAGGGTTTCCTCTTTGGGGTGACAGAAATGTTGCACCATACTACGAATGTATAAATATCACTCGGGATAAATTTTATGTCAGGTGTATTTTACCATTTTAAAAAAATCGTTTTTAAGCTGTGGAAGGGGCAGAAGTTGGAATCCCCACCTGCAGGCTCTCTCTCATTGAAAAGGCCCAAAGCACCCACATTACCTCATCGCTCATGGTCATGAGGGGGGCGGGCCTCCTGGGAGAGCTGCCCCCCAGCCATCAAGACGATGCAGTGTGACTAACGACCCAGTAATTATGATCTCTGTCAAACTTACTCTTCTTATTTGTTTCCTTCAAGTTAAATCCTTCCCTTCCCTAATCCCGTGGCTTCTCCCCTTCCATTTTGGCAGCTCCTTCCCATGGGAAGAGGAACGAGAAGCAGAGGTGACAGGGGCCCAGAGATGGGGGCCCTACCTACAATGAACAAGATCCGAGGGAGTGGGAGTGAGCGGGGAGAGTGAAGGCAGTTTTCTCCAACTCAGAAATTCTTTTCTTTTTTTTGAAGATTTTATTTATTTATTTGAAAGAGAGAATGAGATAGAGAGAGAGCATGAGACGGGGGAGGGTCAGAGGGAGAAGCAGACTCCCTGCTGAGCAGGGAGCCCGATGAGGGACTCGATCCCGGGACTCCAGGATCATAACCTGAGCCGAAGGTAGTCGCTTAACCAACTGAGCCACCCAGGTGCCCCAACTCAGAAATTCTTAACCTGATGCATATCACGGCTTTGTGGGAATCCTAGAACACTGCGTCTTCGTCCAGATGGGCCATCGCCCTGAGCACAAGGCTGGATTTCGGCCTCCCTCGGGTCCCCTTGTTCAGTCAACAACCTGCTCAACTGTTCACGGAGACCCATCCTCTGAGAACCTGAAGGTAACTATGGATCTCCTGCCCTCCAAAATGGAGTCATTTGTGCATGTACACCCTCACCCTATTTCCTACAGAGTATCAGGAGGCTTCTAGACGACTCAGAGCCCTAAACTAGCCGGTAATCAGGAAACATACGCGCTCAGATCCCATTTGCGTCCATCGATAATGACTTTTATCATGCACCAAATGTTGATAGTGCTCCAAGGACCCGGCCAGATGCTTTACACACTTATCTCTAGTTTTGACAATTTAAACCTGCCATGTTCCCATTTTAAAGAATGAGGAATCTGAGACTCAGAGAATGTAGTAACTCGTCCAACGCTGCACAGCTAAACAAATGATTAGCCCAAGCTTTGAAATACTACCTTGTCCTAGAGACTTCTGTCCAGTTACCTACATCCAGGCTACCCTCCTTGTCCATCTCTCCC